CTCCTGAAAGGAGAAATAGACCTGTTTTACCCGAACCAGGACACCACGTTATGTATATAGAGAGAACAAACAAAAGGCAATGAACATTAATGACTTTATAACGTAGTTTATAACATGGTTTTCAAATACAGACAGCATTTTCTTCCAGACTGGAACAGACATTACAATCAGATTAGAATGAAAGAATAAAGAGGAGACAGCATCTGGCAATTTTAAAAAGCTTCTGACAAATTCTTACGATGGTTTTATTTACAAAAAAGCCTCTTAAGGAAAGATCCACAGAACTAGGGAACATGAACAACAATTTTATAAAGAAAATGCACTATTTGTTGAAAATTTCCCTGTAAGTAAACGTGTAAAATGAAAATTTAGAAGTCCCAGAAAGACCATACGTCCTAATCAGTATAGGTGAGAAGTGCCAGTGTATGTTTTGTAGAGCTTATATTCTGTTTGTATATTCAGTCATTTAGACAACTGCTTTTAAGTATCATGTCTCTTCACCCATTAAACATACTATTTCATGCGATGTATAACACTTCGGTGTAAGTGTAACAAAATGTACAAGAGCTACGGCTAGTGTTTGTTTGCTTTTTCTCCTGAGAGCAATAAAACTTATTTCTGATCCACAACAGCCAGGAAGAGCTAAACCCTGCTAAACTTCGAGATGAAGCAGAACTTCTTGAGCCTTCCTTTTCAGAAAACTATGATTCTGTAGATGAGTTGCTGAGCCACCTCCCGCTGGTATGCCCAGATTTTCTTTCCTCCTGCTGTCTATTACTTGACTTGACCCATAAAATGAGATTGATCATGTATTAAGTGTGGCCTATCAGAAAAAACAAATCATGTAGGAAAGAGCCATGTTCCATGAAACGCTGCATGTTTCTATAGGGTTTGCATCTGAATATAATAATAATTTTAATAACAATAATTAAGTTATCCCATGATTGCTCTTAACTGAAAATTCCTGATTAAATGGCACTGTTAATAACACACCTAACTGACTTGGGTGTTTCAGCTTGTGTGCACTGCAGCATAAAATCAGAACTGACACATTTTTAATTACAAATATTATTATTTCTTCAGAGAACAAACTCAGGGATATTTCTTTTCATTAAGAAAACACATCTATTTCGTTAGAAGGGAGTTGACCCTAGAACTACGGATCAGCACATGAACCCTAAGCATTAAGGAAGCACTTGACTCCCATCTAAGGTGTGCTGCAGAGGGGTCGTCTGACAGGCGAATATTGCAGTTACTGTTTTCCATTTAGCTATTAATATTTTTCTAAAATCATTCACAAATATGTTTCTTTGGTTTACTGAAATGTAAATGTTTCTACATTGCAGCACTTGCAGGGGCATGAAATTGAAAGGGTAATGTAACAGTGAATCGGGCTTAGTATTCTTGAAAGTGTATTATGAAATTGATGATAGGATAGTTTTTGGCATTCAGCTATGTCTCAACTACAAGTTAGAAAAAAAGGCTACTCTTGAAGATAACATTTCTCCAAACTGTTGTTTCCTTCCAAGACTGAAAGAAAATGTTCTTTTCCTTTCCACAAATGTGGCAGTTCCTCTAAAGTTCCCAAAGATTAGAAAGGACGTAAACTGCTTATGCCTCAAGGAGTGAAAAAATTTGTAAGTGATGGGGTTCTGGAAAGAAATGTTCTTTCTAGACAAGATTATTACAAAAATGCCTGCTCCTGTATTTTGCGCCTTCTAAAACTTCTGGCATTGACTAAAAGAGAGAGAGAAGTGGTGCAGCGGGTTGCAGGCGTCTTCCTTGAAATATTTTCCATCCTTTCCTTTTTTACGGGCTGTACTGATGATCCAGATCTCCCTGTAGGTGAATTTTTTACTCAGTATCGACTGTTCCTGGTCATTTTATCACAGTGCCCAGTTGCTGATGTAGTGTGTGTCAAGCAACCTGAACTCGTGTATCCCTTTCGAGGATACAGTTGGTTTCCAAAGTGAGCTGTCCTGCACTGCAGACCAACGTGCAGTAACATTTTTCCCTAATCTTTCAGCCTTTCTTCCTCACCCTGCCACCTTCTCTGCTGGCTGCAGTGCTCGCCAAGCCCCTGTGAATAGCTCCATCTCATGCTTGCCAGTCCCGAGAGCAGCAATTGTTTTATATCGTTACTCTTTGTCTGCTGTCTGCTTTTATACACCCCATGATGCAAGTGCTTATGAAATGACTTTTAAAATGTGTTTCTCCTTTGCTTTTCAGGACCTCTGAAGGAGATCTGGTAGAGTCTGTGACAAGAACAAGCTATTTTTGAATTCCACATAGTATTTCAAAGGATGACTTTAGTCATCAAACCAGAACAAATATGTTGTGAAGTGAAAGTTGTGATATATTTGTTTCTTATGTAATAAAAGTTGATATTTACATTGTAAATATTACTCTAGAGTTCTCTACTGAAAGCTGTACATATGGATGCCAGTTTAACTCATGAGAAATTTGTGAGTCCATATGCTGTAAATCCTTTACTTCAATAAATTCATTTGAAAATGAGCGTGCGGTTGAAAAGAGCCCATCATTACTAATTAATTGGATTATTTTAGGTGTGGTACAACTTCAGATAAGCCTGTATGATAGTAGGGACACATTTCCAGATAGCTTCATAAACAAGTGTAAAAATGTGAGGAAAGGAATGTGCAAAGTGTGTAAAGCTGCATTACCAAGATCTCTGAAGGTTACTGCCAAGCGAAAGGGAATGCTTTTCTAGCAGCTTACCGTGCAACTAGAGAAAATGAAAAAGCATTAGAAATTATTTGACCTCTGACAGCGTCTTTCCTTCCTGTTCACATTTTTAGTATTTCACAATATACAAATTATATTAAGACCAGAAATGTATCCTGTATTTTCAGTTGTGTTTTGAATGCTCTGGAGCTGACAAACAACGCAAAGAATGCTATCCCTTGATTCATTTGATGCCTAAAGTCACCGGTTATTCTACATTTAATTGTCTGTAGGTTTGATGATGAAGCTATTGCTTATATATAAAACAGATCTGAAGCCACTTTACTATTTTTTCAGAATGAATGCAATTTACAGAATATGCAGACAATAAATAATTTTATTATCGTGGCAAACTATTATGGGTTTGAATCAGTGCTACAGGTACCTAGAACAGTAGAGATCCCAGTTAGTGCTGTCTCTACTATAGTAGTAGAGGAAGATAGTATTTTTTAACTGAGGTATACTATGTTATATCAGAAAGACAAGAAAGTAAGCCCCCAGTCCCTGTTTCTTTAGCTTTATATCATTGTAGCTTAGTATGGAACTGGAAATTTCCAACTGATTCATGTTGCTGTGAATCAGAATCTGGTTGTATTTTATTAAAATTGTAGATGTAACTAACTGGATCATTTTCTGAAGAGTTATTTACCGTTGTAAGGACCAATAGTTCCACTGCAGTAAGGAAAGTGTGCAGAACTGCATGCACAACATACGAAATGCATATTCATGCATGATACCAGCCATAACACTCCCATGACTCTCCTCCCACCTCCTAGAAAGAGATGAAATTTGAAGTAGAAAAACTTATCATCCCTACTTACAAGTTCAACTTGGAATTTGAAGTATATTTATATAGCATACATATGCATACATAGACAGTGATAAAACCCATTTAAAAGTTTCACTTACAAGTTTACTGTTCTCATGTAGAAGGAAGCTTCAAACATGATAAAATTTGAGATTTATGGAGACTAGTTCTCATAAATATGTAACCTTCTGATTTGCATTTTTTTTTGAATATTGGCAACTGCATGTCAAAAGAAAACAGCTTACACAGATCAGATGCTACTATTGCGATTTATATCTAGCCTTGACATAATTTATTTTAGCCTAAGACAATGATTCAGAAAAGTTAGATGTAATTTTGACGTCTTCTCTTGAAAAGTGGTCTTCTAATGGAGGCCCACTCTCAATTCCTATCTTACGAAAACTTGAGTGAAAAAGTGGCTTTGGAAATACTTGAAGGATATAGCCTGTATTTTTTACTTTCCTTAGTGCTGCAGCGGAGGGAGATGACAAATGCACCCCTCATGCTGCCCTTCCATCATCTGTGATACTGGGCAGCTGGGTGATGGTAGCAGCACCCCTGGCCCTTTGCTGGCTTTTGCCAGCCTGAGGAAGGTGAAATGGAGGTCAGTTCACAGCAAAACCCTAACAGTTTATCATGGAGATTAGGATAAAGATTGCTATATGTCCTTTGACTTGCTCTGTGAGTGATGAGTGGTATAGGTTACACACTGGCCTGTCACCAGCGTTAATTCTTCAAAAGGAAGAAGGAAGAGAGCCACGAAAGCACTAATTTGTGTATTTATGTCATGTATATTAAAATATTATGCTAAAATGTAGTGCCAGTGACGAGGAAGGGCTGAGGGGCTCCTTTCATCCAGGGCTAAAAAATTACAACAGGGGTTACCTTCAGGATCATTAGTCTACTGCTGTGCAGGAATAAAGAAATCCAGCTGAGTGGACTACTTGGGTCATCGCTCTTTGATTTATGATTCATTCTCTGTTCAGTACAGGTGAGAATACAAGTGCTGAATGTACCCTACTTTCACAGAGAAGGGGCTTGATTCTGTAAAGATCAAATTTAATTGAGCATTGCACGTTCTGTAACTTTCAGGCTCCATTTAAATGTATTTTCCTAAAGAATGGCTAATTCAAAATTTCATTTCCCTGGCCTTAGCCCTGTTGAATAGCTTTTGCACATTTACAATACTCTGAAGGGTTCTGGAGTCATATATGAGATAATTAGGTTGCTTTTCGACAACGGAACAAACAGAACTTCACCTGGTAAAGTCAGAATGACATTTCAATGGGACTTTTTCTTGACTGTTCTTTATAAATACGTTTGCAGGATCTGATTAATAAATGAGTGCATGGCCAATAGACAATTTGTCTCTGTAATGAGGACTAACCCATATAAATGTTCTATTTTATATTTCTAATTGCATTATCGCTTAATTCCCTGAGAGAAATCTATCAGAAATTCTGCTTCCAAGATGTACTGTGTTTTATACTAATTTTATGTTTGCTGAATTATAAACTTCAGAGTAAAAACAGCATGCTAAATAATTACAATGCATACAGATTATTAAATTATTTTCTATTAAAAAATGAAGAAATCAATGAAGGGCAACCTCTCCTGCCCCAGCTTTACTCTGTAGCTGCAACGGTAGACTACAGTGGAAATGATTATGGTTCCAAGGACTTCTACACTGGCTCTGGTGAAAATTAAAGCAGATTTTAGGCTGCTGTAATCTAGGCTGTTTGATTACACTTCGTAAGGTCTGTGCATCGATAGAGGAGCTCTCGCACTCTCGGGAACTAGTCTTCCAAATTCAGCCCACAACATACTTAAAGAGCTTTTTTTTCAGCTAGCCCTGCACTGCTTGAGGACTTCTTTATACTGTGGATTTCCCTGAGTACTCACTATTATTTTAGGCTTTGTTGTATTACTGTACATAAACAAAGGAATTTGAGAGAGCATCTCATTGTAGCTTATCTGCATAAAATCACAGTACAAGTTGACACTACAAGAAAGAGACAACTTTGTGGAGTATTATTCATTTTGGGAGAATCTGCTGCTGAAAAAATAAGAGCAAGTCCTCAGTAATTTTTAAATCAAATTTGGTACTTAATTTAAGAATTGTTAAACAGTTAGATATTTTTTCCAGTTTCTACATTATCATCTTCAGAAACAGAGGCCTGGCCAGGTCTAATTTCCTGAGATTTTCAGCTCAAATGTTGCAAAAAAACTTCTGTTTTTTAACGCTTAGATGCACTAGATACACATTACAAACCTATTGGAATAATTAACCAGATATGACATAACTAACAGGAAAAAGTAACTCATAATTTTATTTTTGCTTTTTGAGCTGTTTCTTCCGTTATGAATTTTCAGAAATGTATAGTTTAAAGAATTTCATTCAGCCAATAATTTTAAGTAAATTATACAAATATTAAGTTACCAAGGACAGCTTGTCTAGCTATCATTTTTCCTTTACATTCTACAGCATAGATACAAGCTTAAACTGGAACATACTGCTAATGTTTTGCACAAGGAAACAAAATAAAACCAAATAAAAGTAAATGCTAAAAGAGCTTATGCTCTATCTGTACTTGGTAGTGGTAAAGTTTTAACCTGAACCATTCAAACACACATACAAAAAGTTTATTTAGACTTCTTAAAGCCAGTTGCACTGTAACCCAGGCAAATGAATGTTTTCAATCTTGTTTTCCTTTTGCTAGTATTGACTGCCAGCAAACAAGAACTCCAAGAGACTGGGTTTTGAAGAGTGTCTCAAATAACTTCGTTTGATTAGGAGTCAATTTGTTTAATTAATGAACTGCTCACCTCCAGTCTAGAAAATACTTGGAGAACGTGTTGCAAGCAAAGTATTTCCCAGATACACCGTATTCTTTCTGCTTTGATGAAGGACCCAGCACGTCTGTGACTTCTCTGAATTACTGTGGCTCACAGGAGCAAACACTGCATTCACAGCCTGTCAAAGGCGTGTGGTACATCTCTGGTGTTGAACATACGTGACCCCTTCTCCACTCATACAACTGATGTACCCACATGTTGGAGAGAGGACGCTGTTATTACTTATGTCAAAAATAATTGTGCGAAGGAACATATAATTATTACGAAGATTATGACTTCACTCCATATTCCTGGTTAAATTTCTTCTAGTTATGGAGATCTTCAAAAGATTTCCTTAATCCTATAGATATAAGTAGCTGTGCCTATAACTGTAAAATGTGATAAAACCCACCACTTTCATACTTGTTCATAGAGTCTTCTATTAAGTACACAATGTATATATTAAAAAAAGAGTAGCTTGGTGAATTGGGTTTTTCTTTTTATTTATTTTTATTTTGAATAAAACTTCAAAATAAAAGGGCAGTTTAAAGTTGATATAATTGCCTTCCATAATTTCCAAGATTTCCTTCCTTTCCTTTTTATTCCATCAGAGATAAACACATAGGAGAAGGAAAGTTATTTAAACAAAAAGGATAATGCTTGTGTGAGACAAGGTTGTGTAAATTAGCAATGAATAAATTTAGGTGAGAAATGAGATGAAGTTTCTAGCTACCACAGAGCTGAAATTCTGGAAGTGTGTTCCAAATTGAATTTTAAGCTGGTATTTCATAAATTCAGTACCTTAATGAATTTGGTAATTTGATATGGTTTTCCTGTGATAGCAAGGACTAGACCTTGGACATCCAAGGGATCTGAGTGCTACATTCCAATTCAGTGTATGAGAGTCACAGAGAGAGTCACAAGTAATAAAGATTTTCAGTATGGATGTCTGTTATTTGGCAATCTCTAACTGAGTTTCATTTTGGCTCTTCTGCTGTGTAGATTTACACATACAGAGAAACTTAGATGGTTGACAATATTGCAGATGCATTGATTTTACTTTTCTAAAACTACCAGTAACTGCAGAGATGTAGAGAATAATCAATATTTTGGGTCAGAA